TGATACCGCCATCAAATTGGCTGTTTCAATGAAATATAGTTTATTGTGATTTGACATCTCTATTTGACCAATCAAAATTGAGGATTTTCCAAATTCATGCAAGAGTGAGTGAGTATGGTTTTACGCCGCTTTTAGCAATATTCCAGCAATATCACGGTGGGGGGCACCAGAAATGGGCTTCACACATTGTACCCATGTTGGGAATCGAACCCGGGTCTTCGGCGTGACGAGCCAACACTTTAACCACTAGGCTACCCGACCGCCCCAATTCATGGAAGAATGCTCAATTGTATAATAACCATACTGGAGATACTTCAACGGGGGTGGGGTGCTTGTTGGGGGTTAAATGTGAGGCTATGAAACGTTTTAGGAAACAATCATAGTTTGATAGGCAATTAGTTGGAAGAGCATGAGCACATGACACATTTTATTAGGGCTGCAACGATACAGGCAGGTCACGATACGATACGCATCTCGATATTCTGGTCACGATACGATATGTATCTCGATACACAAAGATAAAAAAACAAGACTTAAAGCATGTCAAGATTGAAACTTTCATAATTTTGGAACAGTCAAAATTATTTTATAATAACAAGACTACTGACATTGTTAAGCTTCAAAGTGGAACTTTCTCTAACTTTCCTTCAAAACAATTCAAAGTTCAAACACCAGCAATAATTAATGTATTCCACCAGTGATACAACTTCAAAGAATTTTGATTCAATGGTCGAAGAAATTGTAACTAAAAGTATTGTTTTATCAGGAATAATATATTCCAATATCATGTTACTTTAGTTGCAGCTTTTACTTTATATATATATATATATATATATATTTAAAATTTTAAGAACCACAAGTGTAGCACTTGATACTGGTGATTGCTATTGCAGAATATTTTTACGTATGGAACAATTTGGCCAAATTGCCACAAATATGACTTTTAACGAGTCAAAGTATGGCATTTTTAATATATGTATCCATTCTTTACGGACTAAAGTTTGTTTCAATGCGTCAAAAGCAGTAATCTGACCGTGGTTGCTGTATCGCTTCACACATGATTTCACCTAACTTAATGAAAACAATATTAAATGAAATTATGAATGAAATTAATAAAATATATTACAAACACTAGTCCAGATATAATACGAACATGTTTTAATAGCAAGATAGTATAATAATGGTATTGAATTGAGTACTTCAGTTCGGATTTGCTGACTGGTATTTCCGGTGTTATGTGCTTGCGGTGATCAGCTGATAATGTTTTTTGAGATGGGGAAAAACATCTGTTAGTGTAAAACCTGAGCTTATTAAAAATGTAAGTATGTTTTTTGGGGCCATGTGTTAACGCGCGCTATAACCAAGTTAGCGGTTTATCGAAAGGCACAATAGCGAGGAAACGCTGTACTTGAGATTTGCGTTCCGTATCGTGGCGTATCGATAAATGGGCCCAGGTTTATCGTATATCGTATCGTGGGTCAAGTATCGCGATGCATCGGAATATTGGTGTATCGTTTCACCTGTTCATTTTATGGATAACAACGTGAAAAATCTGAAAATCGGTGATGACACCAGGTTGTAGCGAAAATGGTAAGCAAATATACACTTCAGCAAAGTCGATTGTTTAATTAGTCTGACATAAGTAAACAATGAGATGGAATATGACAGGATAAACATTTTGATACCATTTCATGGAGAAAGAGCAGGAAATATTGTTTAAGTTAGATCATGTCGACCCGAAGAGGGCAAGTAGCTAAGTTTTAAACATGATTAATTTTACATATCAAATATCAATCCAAATTTATATATTACTTCCATACATGTAGACATCCTAGGTTGACAGTATAGCTGTTCAATGATTGCATGTCAATTAATGGTGGGGAGGTGAAATGGGGTTTCGCGTTCAAAATTATTGCAATGTACATGTACAGCTGCTTGTAGTTGTACTAGCCCAGACTGATGTCAGTTTTAAAGTGCTAGCGCCTGAGATACCATGCCACAGTTTAACATGGACTCCCCACTCAGAACCAGTACACAGATTCCGTGCCAAGCAGACCTTGTTTTAGCCCCTCATGTAGAGTGCTGGGCAGATGCTATCCACTAGGCCATGGAGGCAGTAGCCAACTTAGGACTATTCTTCAATACTGCATGCATCATGTTTATCAGGTGAATGTTGTTTTAGAAGCCATAATCAACAGAGCCAAGGGATGGACAACCTTTGGTTCATTTGGCTACTGGGCCACCATTCTAGGATTAGTCAACACTGCTTACATCGTGAAGTAGTTAATATACAGATTACCACATACTGGTTCTAATACCAGGGATACGAATTAATGCTTGCCTGCAGGCCTAATCCAGTAGAAATAATGTCAGGCTAATAAAATCATAATTCTACTGACTCATAGGGCCTGTCACTAACATGTGTTGTATATTATCATGTCAAACTGCGTTGCTGGGCATTTGGCACTACCTTTCAAGTCTTTAAAGGTAGAAATTTGAAAGTCTTATTTCATAGGGACAAGTAACCTTTTGCAGGGCTAGCAGAAAAAAATTCTGTTGGCTTGTTTGGGTTTTTAATTAATTTCCATCCCTGTAATACCATCTGCCACAACCACGATACTTGTCGTCTATCTTATCATAATGAGTGTGTGAGTGAGTTGGGTTTAACGCCGCTTTTAACAGTATTCCAGTTATATCACGGCGTGTCAGCTTAATGTGGGAGGAAAGCCCGAAGTGATGCAGGTCTCAGACGTTTACCACTTCGGTGAAACCCACGTGCACGGGTATGGTGCTGACAAACCTAGAAACATAATCAGGGCGAACCGGGATTCGAACCCACAATCATAGGTCTTAGACGACTGGGCCACCCGTGTCCCCCTTTTCATAATGAACACTTTGCTACCATATTTACACACATTTTAAATATATATTCAAGTGTACACATTATGTCACGATTCACCAATACATCAGTGCCTCCATAATATTCTCAGACAATACGATACACGACACACACTAAACTGTATCTATTCATATTTTAATCCTGTATAGATTAATCATAATCCCCTATCGTTTCACAAACAGAACATTTAAATGATTAAAGGTAAAGGCATCAAGTTTTTTATGAGTAATTGTTATTTTCAAATGAATATTTTAATCTAGAACACATTTCGTGATAATGATGTTACATCAATGAATTTAGGTTACCCTGGGGTACTTAATATCTACTACTACATAACACAAAGTAGGTACAATTTATGGATGACAACCTCTTTGATGTACTTTTATTATGCCATTTTGTATAGATCCATGCACAGGTATGAGGCAAGACAACGGTATAAGGATCTATATATCGAAAAGCCACATTAATGGTATAGTTATGGTTGTTATCCATAAAGTGTGTCCACTTTGTCATCAGTCAACTTCTAGTGAGTGAGTGAGTGAGTATGGTTTTACGCCGCTTTTAGCAATATTCCAGCAATATCACGGCAGGGGACACCAGCAATGGGCTTCAGTCAACTTCTAGGAAATTTCAGCAAACAATAGAATTGTATGTGCAAGCAAAAGGAGAAGTAACAGCATAAAATAGGAAAAGAAGATTTTAATAGGCATTTTCACTTATTTAAAGGGGCGGTCGGGTAGCCCAGTGGTTAAAGCGTTCGCTCGTCACGCCGAAGACCTGGGTTCAATTCCCGACATGGGTACAATGTGTGAAGCCCATTTCTAGTGCCCCCCACCGTGATATTGCTGGAATATTGCTAAAAGCGGTGTAAAACCATACTCACTCACTCATAGTTCTCACTCCATCCCTATGTTCCTATGTGTTTTACAGATGAGCAGACACACAGAGAGTACATTGGACACACACACACACACACACACACACACACACAAAAACACAGACAGAGGTGCATGATATTACCGGTATACCACGATATGAAATACCAATGAATGCGTATCACAATATGTTTGGAAAATACCGGTACATTGTGTTTTTCAAAATCATGCATATCATCTTGTGGAAGGGTTTCCTATTGTGTCAACTAAAATGGAAATTGAGAAATTAGCAACGTTTTCCTGTGGTCGAAACAGGGAAACTATTTGTAACAGCTTTCAGTATATGATGTATCCATTAAGCATGCTTTGTGACCAAAGCAACATCCAACAAAATACAAAGTTCCCAAAAACATGCAGGGTGTGTGTGTGTGTGTGTGTGTGTGTGTGTGTGTGTTTGGTTCATAACAACAACAATTTATACACGAAAGAATGCATGCAATATAATGTGGTACGTCTCACAATACAGGAATTATTATTGCAATAAATTGTAGTACAACACACAGGCCAATACCCATCACTACACACACACACACACACACACACATATATACGTCTATGTCTTTGAGCTATGCATAAGAATACGAAATTGCTGCATATTTTATTCATGATCAACACATAATAATCAAAATAGCATTTGCAATAAACGTGCTGAAGCTTGCTATCGTTTGTTGTTTTCAGTAAAAATGATGTGTTGTTCTTTTTACCTGTTCACACATGTCAGATTGGACACTTAACTAATGAGATACAGGTGTATGCCTGTGAGCCATTCATAAGAATACAAAGTTGTTTTAAGTTTTTTGATAACATGATAAACACATAATTATCAAAATAACATTTGAAATCAACTTGCTGAAACTTTTATCACTGGTTGTTGTTTTCAATAAAACTGTTGTGTTTTTCTTTTCACCTGTTCATGCTGTGAAGTCAGATGTGTTCACACAAAAATAATTTATGGTGATATACTTTCTGACACCCAGAAACATATTGTCAAATGATGTACAATGATGCAAACATAAAATTTTCAAAGTAAAAACACATAATGTCTCTATCGCCATTGGAGGTGAACGTGACACGATGTGTCAGACTGTGAACGTGACACTGGCCCACTGCTTGTTGTGACACATATATTGTTTACACATAAATTATGGAATGAAAATAATACCTACCATCATGTTCCATGACATGCAAACTCTTCTCGTCCTTCTTATCGTTGTAGACAACGACTGCGGAAGCATTATACTTCATAGCATTGGTGATCTTCTTTGAAAAGGAACATTCTCCACGGGCAATCAATGCGATCCATTTCACCTGAGGAATTGTCACATTATAGTCACCACATCCATCGTTTTTGCCTAAAACTGTTTTAACGACGACGACGACACCACTCTCTGGCTCCACCTTCAGCCTTGCAGACTTCACTGCGACTCCGAATCTCCCCTTGTCACTCTTAAAATTACGGGTCTCGTTCGTTGCTTTTATTTTGTACGTTATATTTATAAACGCCTCATAGTACGAATCGGTCGTCGACGAGTGGTAATCTTCCGACAAAGCAAGTTTCGGTGATAGCAACAGAACCATTATGATCATCTTGAAGATGAGATGTGTCTTTGGTAGCCATATTTGATGGCAGGCGGTTGTTCCAGGAATAAATTCAAAAGCTGTTCCTTTCCTTCTGCAATCACACATTGTGATGAGAAGTGGTTGTTGTTTAAAACATTGAAAAACGAAGCTACTTTCTCAACCGCCAAGCGCAAATGTGTTCCAAATGCGAGGAATTTGTCAAAACATACGTAATACAGAGATGTGACCTCCCTCGTCCTCGCTCTGCAGTGTTTGGGTGTGACGTCATGAGATTGACATTGCTCGACAGCGCCATCTATAAACACAGGTCATTGAGTTGGCAAGTCCATTTAACAACAATGAGGAACAATAAATAACACGTTGACTGTTTTATGAAACTTCCATCAACTCTTTTAGAAGTTAGATAGGGATGAACAAGGGCTATATTCTCATATCGCACCGGTTGAACGAGATTATCATACGTCACAACATTGTAGCTGTGAGAAGTACACATATTGTTTTGGCCGACAACATTTAGGGTGATATGACACACACGCACACACACACACACACACACACATACACACACATATATTTACAACTTCTGAGCTGTATTGTGGACTTAGAACGTTGTTTCAACCCACTCAGTGAAACAAGCACACGATAAATTGTATCACTGAATACGTATACAACACGGAGTGGGTCAATATATTACAATATATGATACAATACAATATCAATTCATAAGAAATGAGATTTGGGGCGGGTCGCCATAATATATGGAACACATTAATTAATTTTTCATAGGGACACTGAATAAATTGTTTATCCTAATTTTATGGTTTAGCTCAATTGATGTGTTATATGGATCCATGTGCGCACGTGGAAAAAAGATCCATCAAAGACGTACATCTTAGGGTCGACTGGTTATATTGTATTTTTATATCATTTTAATCTGATTCATTTTTATTTGTTTTGTTTTGTTTATTTAAAATGCTAATGAAGTAGAAAACCCTGATATGAACACGTGATCAATAATGAATCGTGTTTGAAGAAATTGTATATTTGATTTCAACCAAAAATAATTATATATTTGACTGATATCTTCAGGATATTTTAAAACTCGTGCAACTAGCGGTATCGCGCCAAAACGTTTTGACTTCATTATTCATAGCATCTTCTTTAGAAATTTGGACTTGGACCCAACATTATCAATTTAGGACGCAAGCAATAATTGTACCAGGCGTCGCGGTATTCCGCTCTATCTACGTACATGCAATGTGTATCGAATTTGATAATTCTTGTCACAACACATACATTGCGCAATACGCTACAGTATACTATCCACACAATAACTGTTGACAGACAGGTGAGTCTGTACACAGATAGAGCGAGGAGGGTATGTGGAATGTCCGTCCCATCACTCAACCAATGAATGTGTGACTAAGCTTTGAAATTGGCCGCGCGAAGTTGTCTCCCTTAGTAGCTATCGCGAACACGCCAAGTGGGCCAGTTCATCCACTTGCTGGCTGGCTTGCTTTTGGACAAAACAAATCATTGGTATTGACAAAATCAAACGTTTTTGTTTCAAAGTACAGTCAATAATAAATATGACTACTTCTGAATATATGTTTCATAACAAGCCTATTTTAAGAAGCGGAATTGCACTCCTATAATTTAATGAAGCGATCGCCCTAATGGTTCAAGCCAATCCAAATTTGTTATAGATCTACATGACTGCATGTTACTAAAATCACACGCACCTAACAAATGTAATAATAAAATTCATTCCAAATGTTAGTGTCATGCATATAACCGTCATGCAAATAACGGTTTAAATGTACACACTATCTTCATTGATTATTATTATCATGTGTTGTTCAATAGGCAATTGAGACGAGGACAACATTTTGAGACAGTTGTCGGGTGGTATGCAGTATCTTTGTAGCCTATAGATCATGCAGACCATAGGAGTGTTGCTATTTTATCATGGTGACATTTTATTGTTTACTACTACTACTTCTACTACTACCACTACTACTACTACTACTACTACTACTACTACTACTACTACTAACTACTACTACTACTACTACTAACTACTACTACTACTACTACTACCAGAGAGTATGCTTACAATGCGCGAGGTCCCCAGTACCCATGCGTGTCTTATTGTAGGTATTAATGGGATAGAGTAGGTCCCCAGTACCCATGCGTGTCTCCATGTAGGTATTAATTGGACAGAGTAGGTCCCCAGTACCCATGCGTGTCTTATTGTAGGTATTAATGGGACGGAGTAGGTCTCCAGTACCCATGCGTGTCTCCATGTAGGTATTAATTGGACAGAGTAGGTCCCCAGTACCCATGCGTGTCTCCTTGTAGGTATTAATGGGATAGAGTAGGTCCCCAGTACCCATGCGTGTCTAATTGTAGGTATTAATGGGATAGAGTAGGGCCCCAGTACCCATGCGTGTCTAATTGTAGGTATTAATGGGATAGAGTAGGGCCCCAGTACCCATGCGTGTCTAATTGTAGGTATTAATGGGATAGAGTAGGGCCCCAGTACCCATGCGTGTCTAATTGTAGGTATTTAAGGGACAGAGTAGGGCCCCAGTATTAATGCGTGTCTCATTGTACGTATTTAAGGGACAGGGTAGGGTCCCAGTACCCATGTATGTCTAATTGTACGTATTTAAGGGACAGGGTAGGTCCCCGGTACCCATGCGTGTCTAATTGTAGGTATTAATGGGACAGAGTATGGCCCCAGTACCCATGTGTGTCTAATTGTAGGTATTTAAGGGACAGAGTAGGGCCCCAGTACCCATGCGTGTCTAATTGTAGGTATTTAAGGGGCAGAGTAGGGCCCCAGTACCCATGTGTGTCTAATTGTAGGTATTTAAGGGACAGAGTAGGTCCCTAGTACCCATGTGTGTCACCTTGTAGGTATTAAAGGGATAGAGTAGGGCCTCAATACCAATGTGTGCCTCCTTGTAGGTATTAATGGGGCAGAGTAGGGCCTCAGTACCAATGTGTGCCTCATTGTGGCGACACACTGCACAACCCTCAACACACTTCACATAAACTCGAGTCTGGGCCGAATTCGATATGGTATTTTACTTGGTTGACACTGATATCTGGACCGTCAATCAGTACAGAACCATCAAACACTTTAACACTGTACACTTCAGGTCCATTGCTAAAACTTTAATTAGCGGGTACCAGTAAAATGCACGTCAGAAATGGTATTAAATGTAATGGATCGTTGCCAACACGTCACAGATAGCCCACGTTTAACCGCATAACACACAGAGAGACCCGTAGGAATGAGGAAAATGAGTGCCAACCACACCCTGATCACAGGATACTTCAACTGTACACGTGCAACCATCGTCGGACTGTTTGACGTTACAGAGAGACTGACGTCGTCCAGATAACAGGTGCTTGAGCACTTTGCATTTGCGCAACAGGTTCGTTATATCCACGGAAACGGCAATAGCGTTAGGACGCCGCATCGGTCGACGCACCATGCTTTGACGTCTCCGTGTCGCAGGTATTCGAACCTACCACCCTATCAGAGGAATGGCCGCATCAGTCGACGCACCGTGCTTTGACGTCTCCGTGTTGCAGGTATTCGAACCTACCACCCTATCAGAGGAATGGCCGCATCAGTCGACGCACCGTGCTTTGACGTCTCCGTGTTGCAGGTATTCGAACCTACCACCCTATCAGAGGAATGGCCGCATCAGTCGACGCACCTTGCTTTGACGTCTCCGTGTTGCAGGTATTCGAACCTATCACCCTTTCCGAGGAATGGCCTTGACCTATGAACATCAACGTCGAATACGGCACTGGGCAAGGACAGGGCAAGTCTGGCAGATCTGTGACTGGCAGAGAGTGCTTTTTATTCACGAATGACGATTCTGCATATTCCATTGTGACGGTCGGGCTCGGGTGTATCGTCACAAAGGGGAAACGAATGGCACCAAGTGCATCCATATAGTGTAGGTGGGATGATGTTTTGTGGAGAAATTTGTGGAACATGTCATCATCTGTGACAACATCAATGGATCTACGAAATGACGTTTTACAACCGCGTGGTGTTAGTATTCCTTCGCGAACAGCAACAGGGAACACTCTTGCAACACGCAACGCTTGGCCAACACTGCAAAGGTCGTCCATGTTTGTTCATGGCTGCAGACAACACCGCCATACTTCCATTGCCAGCTGGCTCACCAGACTTAAACCCCTTTGAACAGTCGTAGGATCATCTGAATCGTCAGATCAGGAGGCATCCTCATCAACCACAGATCTGTCAACAGGTGGAAGCCACACCGAGGGACGCATGACAACCGATTCCCAATAACGTCATCAGGTGTCTGACGACGATGAGACGGTCATGTTCGATATCGAGAATGTCAGATATGTGTGAACCAACTCACGTCAAGTGTACGTCACCTGTTTTAAAAAATACCCACTGATATGATCAAACACAACATAATCGAATAACCATTTCTTGTTACAGTAAAGTACGGTTATAACGAACACAAAGGGACTACTAATTTTAGTTCGTATTAACCGTAGTTCCTTATAAGCATATATACAGCATAACTAAAGCAAATAGTCGGGACCAAAAAGTAAGTTCGTTATATCCGTCAGTTCGTTATAAGCGTGTTCGTTATAACCGTAGTTTACTGTAGTTTTATTTTTTAGCCACCATCAAACATAGGAGAATATTTTCTTTTGCCGAGCAATTTATTTATGTTAGTTATTCTTAATTATTGTAAGTGCAACATATAACTTATGTAAGCAATGTTGTGCCCCCAAATCAAGCAAAATGTTGAAAACAATACTCGTATTAGATTTAAAGTTTCTCGAACAAACAAACCCCTGACAGTCTTACTGGTACGGAGTGATCCAGCGTAAGGAGTTTTACCATAAAACTCGGACAAGGCACTGTAGTTTCAGTGTGGTTACAGTCTGTTTTCCAGATCCTAGGGAATACATTAAATAATAAATCCAACTCAAGTCTAGAATGATTCGGCTGGCCTAGACTGAAATTAAGCATTGTTCGGGGATTCATTTGGGGAATAATGTTTGTTTTGTAGTACCTTTTATATATGTTTTAAATACGATAACTTAGTTCTTGGACTAAATGTAGATGTGGTGGATTGAAATGTTAATGACCGAAATCTCCAAATGTAATATTACACTCCTTTCCCCAACACTGGAGACCTATGTATAGTGCTTGAGTGTTCATCGAACAAAAACAGTCCGT